TTTTTTGGTTGCAGCCGTCATTGTTGTTTGGCGGGTCCAGGCTGGGGATTCGAACCCACCACCTTAGGTGTATGTGGCTGGCGCCTTAGCCGGTTGAGCTATAGGCGCCGAGCCTAAACTGCATGTTGAAATGATATTTTAGATACAGTGAGTTAAAAGGAATATATTATGAAAACAAATTTCATCTGTTTCTTTATATTTCTTATGTGGTCACTTACAAATTTAAAATGACACACGTGGCTCCCATTTCCAGTTCATATGACATTCCTATAGGAAAGCTGGTGTGGAAAACCTGGCACACTTCCCATCTACCCAAAGACCACCACTTCCCCCTGGATAACCCCACCACACCGTCCAGAGTCCTGCTCTAATCTCCCTAGACCCACTCAACAAAGCAGCAGAGGACCCAGCTCATCAGGCAATTGGGTTCAAATCCTGTTCTAGTGCTTTGGGGCAGTGGGACCTCAGGCAAGGAACGTCAACATTCTGTACCTTAGTTTCCTCATCCATAAAATGGAGATAATAGTACCTATCACACAGAGTTGAGGTGAGGGTTAAAGAACTATAGTAGACCCTCTGTACATTGGCCACTCCAGGGACTGATAAACTGGTCAACATATGGAGGTGGTCAACATAAGGAACTAGGTCTACTGTACCAATACCTACATGTGATGCATGGCTGGTCTATGAAAATTAGGTCAGCTTAAGGAGGTGGTCAACTACAGAGGCCCCATGTACATATAAAGCACTTCAAGCAGTGCCTGGTCCCTGATTTATCGGTTAATGTTATCAATGTCCTTACTTAACAAATGAATAGATGGGGCCTGGCATGGTGGCTCACACCTGTAATCCTAGCACTCTGGGAGGCCGAGGTGGGTGGATTACCCTGAGCTCACAGGTTTGAGACCAGCCAGAGCAAGAGTGAGACACTGCCTCCAAAAATAGCCGGGTGTTGTGGTAGGTGCCTGTAGTCCCAGCTAGTTGGGAGGGTGATGCAAAAGAATCACTTGAGCAGGGGAGCACTTGTGGCTCAGTGAGTAGGGTGCCAGCCCCATATACCAAGGGTGGTGGGTTCAAACCCAGCCCCGGCCAAACTGCAACAAAAAAATAATCGGGCGTTGTGGCGGGCACCTGTAGTCCCAGCTACTGGGGAAGCTGAGGCAAGAGAATAGCCCAAGCCCAAGAGCTGGAGGTTGCTGTGAGCTATGATATCACCGCACTCTAACAAAGTGAAACTCTAAAGAACAAACAAAAAAAACCAAATAGATAGGCTGACACTTGAGGAGATTAAGTGACTCGCTTAAAGTCTATAACCAATTGCAGGCCAGGGAGAGACCCAAGCCTCATCCTGTTCCCCACCCCAAACTTACACATGCCTGCTGGTTCCCCTTATCCCCTTGCCTCCTCTGCCATCCCAACTACAGCCAAGAATGAAGAAGATTCTGGGTGAGCCAGCCTACCACAGGTATCTTGGGGACCTAGAAGCCCTGCCCTGCAGCCTTCCTCCCAGCTGGGAGAGACAGTCAAGGTGGAAAGGCTGTCCCAGACCACTCACCCCAATGGGAGAACACTTTTCCACAAATTTCAGAAGCTGGGACTTGGCCGTCCCAGGGTCCCCCAGCATCAGCAGGTTGATGTCCCCTCGACGAGTAAGCCCATCAGGGAGCCTGGGGAAGGACAGGTTAGTGGGCAGGGATTGGGACGTAGGCTAGCCCTAAAATGGGACTGACAGTCACGCCCCCAATCTACCAGGAGCTCCACGTCCACACCAGCTCCCTAACTGTGAAAGCTCTCCCCTAACAGAAGACAGAGCTTGCTCCCAGAAAATGGCACTTCTGGCTATGCTCAGGCCCACCCAACAAGATCTGACAGACATTCCTCCCAGCTGGGAAGGGAGGGAAACTGCCTGTGGGCTGTGCATAGGGCAGCAATACAGGTCCCACAAGGGCAGGCTCCTGGCTCCCATACATATGCCAGGGAACAAGTTCTTTTAGCTTTCTGTGCCTCAATTTCCTCATCTATAAAATGGGCACAACAGCTGCTTTCTTACAGGGCTACTGTGAGGACTGAATGGGCTTCTGACATAAAAACTCAGAACTGCCTGGCAAAAAGGAAAAAAAAAATAATGCCTGGCATACAGTAAAAACATAGTAAATAGTAGTTGTCAGTGATATTATCATCTTATCCAATTATTTTATAGTTTCCAAAGGACACACAATATCCTTTGAGCATGTCAGGATTTTCAGCCATTTCTTTCACGTGGAAACTTAAGATTCAGAGAGGTGGTATCTCTCACCCAAGGTCACACAGTAAGTAAGTAGCAGAGCAGAGATTTTATTAATCCCTGGTGCCCAGACAATTCCAAATGCAGCACTTTCCCACCGCACCTGCCAGCTCCCCAGTGAGACAGGTGCACAGATCAGCCACCAGCCAGGAAGCTGGCAAAGTTGCCTGGGGGTGGTATGCAGGCTCAGTCCTGATCATCTGGCAGCTGTCCTACTATGGGCCCCATCACCATCCTCTCCCCTGAGCCAAGGGACTCAGATCCCACCTCTTTCGGGAGCCCCCAAAGAGCAAGCAGGCGATGGCCTTCTTCATGTCCATGCCCCCAAAGATGGAGGGGGCGATGCTCTTGGAGATGACCTCGTAAACATTGGGGAGGGAGGCTAGGCGACGGAATTCCTCCTCCTCCTGTGGGCTCACAGTCCCAGCAAAGCTGCGACCTGAATGGGGAAGGCAGGGTGGTCTGAGTTCATGGGAAGGGGCTGCTCCTATAGACTGCTGCCTGGCCTGGCCTCACCCAACTTAGAGACCCCTGGAAACAGCACAGTGTGAGTAAAGACAAAGACCCCAGCTCTACCCTGCAGCCCCCAGCCCTCAAGAGTGGACTTGGTGTGTTCCAGGGTCCAATGAGTAAGGGGGGTGGGGGGGAAATGTCTGAGGAATTAAGAGGACCAGATCATGTCACAGGCCCTTGGGGACCACTGGAAAGTCTCTCCTCCTGTTGAGAGGAGTGGAGAGCCACCATAGCCCAAGAGTGACATGGTGTCTTTGGTCATGACAGCACACAGAGAAGGTAGGCGTGTGGTACTGACAGGGAAACTACTAAGGAAAACCAACAGCAACACAGGGGAGAGACAGTGGGCTCAGACCTGGATGGGGTAATGAGAAGTGGCCAGGCTCTGGACACTGGTGGAGCTAGCCAAACCTGGTAACTGATTAGATGTGGAAGATGAGAGAAAGAGGCACCAAAAATGGCTTGGGGTTTTACTACAGGGGTGGGCATAGACTCAGAGAGCAGCTGGTTTGAGAGGGTGGGAAAAGAAAGGAGCTCAACTTTGGCCACATTGGGCAGTACCTGTGGCTCAAAGGAGGAGGGTGCTGGCCCCATATGCTGGAGGTGGCGGGTTCAAACCCAGCCCTGGCCAAAAACTGCAAAAAATAATAATAATAATCATAAATAATTAAAAAATAGGGCGGCACCTGTGGCTCAAAAGGGTAGGGTGCTGGCCCCATATGCCAGAGGTGGTGTATTCAAACCCAGCCCTGGCCAAAAAATAAAAAAAACTTCAGCCACATTAAGTCTCAGATGCCTTTCTGGAATGTGAGGAGAACTCAGCTAGAGATGGAAATGTGCAAACTTGCCAGACGTGGTGGCTCATGCCTGTAATCTTAGCACTCTGGGAGAATGAGGTGAGTAGATTGCTTGAGCTCACAGGTTTGAGACCAGCCTGAGCCAGAGTGAGATCTTGTCTCTAAAAGCAGCCAGGCATTGTTGCAGGCGCCTATAGTCCCAGCTAGTTAGAAGGCTGAGGCGAGAGAATCACTTCAGCCCAAGAGTTTGAGGTTGCTATGAGCTGTGACGACATGGCACTCTACCAAGGGCAACAGCTTGAAATTCTGTCACAAAAAAAAAAAAAAAA